ATATATATATATATATATATATATATATATATATAAACAATAACAGATAAAGTACTGGTAACTGTAACAAAAATGTAAGTAATATTCTTGCCAAATCATTATTATTATGTCATTTTACTTTGCATTTTTGTACATTTTGTTATTTTATTATTATTTATTGTTGTTATTGTAACTTTATTATACATGTTGGGTTGGGAAAGTTGTTTTTGTTTTCATTATATTTTATGATTTTTCATATTTCCGTTTAAGTTTTAGTCATTTTGTTGTGTTTTTGTCTTTTTTATTAGTATTTTTATTTCCTATAGTTTTTATTCATTTTTATTTCAGTTTTAGTTTCAGCTAATTCAGTGCATCAGGTTAAACTAAATGAAGAAAAGGAGTGTTGCTTTGGCAGCTAGCTGACATAAAATAAGATCAAGGTTTATTTTATTTCAATAAAAGTTTATTTTATCTAACTTTTATAAAAGTACATTTTGTTAAAGTTAAAAAAACATTTTATGGTTTTAGCTTAATTTTAGTTAAATATAATAACACTGGTTTGCTCACAGCATCATGCAAAAATCAATGTTTAGTAAAAATTCAGCCCATAATGGTCCAAATTTTTGTTTGGTACTGACAAGTACTTGACAACGTATGTGTTTTTTATAGATGCATTTGGCTTTTAGCACTTTTATCCAAAGCAATTTTATTCAGACTTTTTTCTTTCTTTCTTTCTTTCTTTCTTTCTTTCTTTCTTTCTTTCTTCCTTTTCTTTTTTTAATTCATTCATTCATTCCCTGGGAATCAAACCCATGACTTGGCTGCATGATGTGTTTATTTTGAGCGCTCCTTTCCCAAACTCACTGTACATTGTGCCAAAACACCATTAAAGGCTGTTCTGTGCATTCTGAATGTCAAATCATAGTTGATGATGTGGAAATAAGAGATTGCGGTTCAGTTTATTGGATTGCTAACAATCAGTCCCTTCTGGTCCCCTATAAAAATGTGAAATGTTATCGGCCCAACAGATCCCGTTTGGGTTTCTCAGTGTCTCCTCTAGGTCATGTACACGACTAGAAAAGGCAAATGCAAGCATGAACAGCATGAAGAGTGTTACATCACCTCTGAGGCCTGTAAGCGCTTTTATAGGAAAGTGTTTTTGAAAGGTGAAGTGGTTACAGTTTAGTGTTGCATGATCTTTCTAGTCGTTTTGCGAGTGATGAAATTGTACAAACACTGTCATTCATCAGGGCAGGTCAAGTCACTGAATGCTGACTAGGTGTTATTATGTAAATGTGGGAAGTCATATGTTAATGAGCTTGTGGTTTTGATGTCATAATCATGATTATTTCTGAGCCATTATTGCTGTTGTAGATGTAGATGAGTTTGTTTCTTCATGGGAACAGATTCAGAATTACGTGAGTATTACATGACATGCTCAGAAATGGATGCTCTGCAGTGAATGGGTGCCGTCAGAATGAGAGTCCAAACAGCTGATAAAAACACCACAATAATCCACACCAATCCAGTCCATCAGTTAATGCCTTGTGAAGCCAAAAACTGTGTTTGTAAGAAACCGATCCAGCATTAGTTTTTAACTTCGATCCGTTGTTTCCAGCTAAAATATAAGTCCTCTATCCATAATATTGCTTCCTCCAGTGAAAAAGTTATCTTGTCTGACTCAAGAGAGAAATCTGCACAGATCAAACAGTTCAGAACCGCTCTAAACAAATGTGTGGGTGGATTTTGATGTGAGAGGACAACAGGAGATGGACTTTTTCACTGGAGGAAGCGTTATTGTTGATTATGGTGTTTTGGCCAGAAGCAACGGTTTGAAGTTAAAAGCATTTCTTACAAACATGCAGCTTTTCACTTCCCAAGATGTTAACTGATGGACTGGAGTGGTGTGGATTATTGTGGTGTTTTTATCAGCTGTTTGGACTCTCATTCTGACGGCACCCATTCACTGCAGAGCATCCATTGCTGAGCAAGTGATGGGAGGCTATTGAGTACATTTTCAGCCAATTTAAATTTTTAAGCAAATTATACCTTACATAGAAAAGATCAAGAAAGAATCCTGTTTTCCATGATTTTATTGTATTTTTTTAATGAAAAGTGACGTCTCTTACAGTTAAATCAATTTCGAGTGTTTAAGGTGGCACTGTTGGTTGAGACTAAAATGATGTGATGATTAACATCATATGGGTAACATGTCTTATTTGGGGTTTATGGCAAATCCGATTCAACTAAATTCATCCTCAAAGCCTGTGCATTCAGGCTAACATTAGTTGGATTTGAAATATTAAGTGTCCCACCCTGAAGCTTCATGGAACTTATGGGGTGTTTTTGGTGAGACTTTTGCTTGTCTTTCCATTACAGACTGTCTCTGAAAATTGAACCAGGGAACAGCTCGCCACGCATGGCCACATCCAAAGAAGATCTTGCAGGTAAAACAGCCTAAATGTCATTATTTCTACAGTTTACTTCTAATATAGATGCATTTAGTTGCCAAAAGGGGTTTTGTCATATATATATATATATATATATATACAGTGGTGTGAAAAAGTGTTGGCCCCCTTCCTGATTTCTTATTTTTTTGCATGTTTGTCACACTTTAATGTTTCAGATCATCAAACAAATTTAAATATTAGTCAAAGATAACACAAGTAAACACAACATGCAGTTTCTAAATGAAGGTTTTTTTTTATTAAGGAAAAACTAAATCCCAAACTACATGGCCCTATGTGAAGAAGTGTTTGCCCCCCTGTTAAAACTGTGGTTTATGTGTGACAAACATGCAAAAGAAATAAGAAATTAGGAAGGGGGCCAACACTTTTTCACACCACTGTATATATATAGATATATATATATAAAATTTATTTTTTCTTTTATTTATTTTTTTTGCTATGAGGCCCATCTTGTGCTATTGTTCAAAAGCTTTTTAAATGTTTTTGAAAGAAATCTATTTTTTACATTTATTTGATCAAAAATACAATAACGGTGAAATCATTCTAAGATGCTGATTTGCTGCTCAAGAAACATTTGTGATTATTATCAGTGTTGAAAACAGTTGTGCTGCTTCATATTTTTGTGAAAACTCTGATACATTTATAATTTTCAAGATTCTTTGATGAATAGAAAGTTCAAAAGAACAGCATTTATTTGAAATATTTTTCACATTATAAATGTACTCACTTTTGATCTATTTAATGCATCCTTGCTGAATAAAAGTATTAATTTCTTTAAAAAAAAAAGTCTTACTGACCCCAAACTTTTGAAAAGTAGTAACTTACAGAAGACATTGTAGTCATTTCCCCCCAGCATCCATTATGTTGTCCCGTCTGAATGAGGTCACTGGCCCCTGGTGCTAGAGTTCTCAGTAGGCTCTGAGGGACCCGTCCTATTTGACTCATTGAAAGGGCAAAGGGAACTGAATGTGGACTGAGAAAACAAACAAAACATGAATGGCTCTCTATGGAGCCTTCATAATCTCAACATTGCACATCTACATCACACCACCACATGCAGGCATCGCTCATTGAGGCAAGGGAGTTTTAAAACTGGGCAATTTCTCAACTATTCAGTGTAATTTTATAAAATTATGTTAGAAAATTAACCAGTGCTTTAATTTGTAACTTTTTGTTTGGTCATCACATTTCCTACAAACCAATGCCAATAGCTGAGTTTTGCTCCAGCTCATGAATCACTATGTAGGTGCTGTTTCTTCTGCTCACCAAGGCTGAATTTATTTGATCAAAAATATGGTAAAAACCGTAACATTGTGAAATATTATTACCATTTGAAAAAAAACGTTTTCTATTTAAATATATTGTAAAATGTAATTTATTTCTGTGATCAAAGCTGTATTTTCAGCATCATTACTCCAGTCTTCAGTGTCACATGATCCTTCAGAAATCATTCCAATATGCTGAAAATAGTTTTTGTTGCTAATACTTTTATGGAAACTGTGATGCATTTTTTTCAGGATTCTTTGACGAATAGAAAGTTCAAAAGAACAGCATTTATTTGAAGTACAAACATTTGTAACATTATAAATGCCTTTACTGTCACTTTTGATTAATTTAATGCATCCTTGCTGAATAAAAGCATTCATTTCTTCCACAAAAAAAAATCTTTCCAACCCCAAACTTTTGAATGGTAGTGTATGAGAGCTCTGAGAAGGAGATGGTTTTATAGCATCTCTGATTTGAAATAATAAATTACTGACGGAGTTGGTCAGTTTGATTCATTTCCATGAATAAGTTCATTTCAGTTCATCTGTTTCAATGAGCTGTTTCAAAAACTGATTCAATCATATTTGTGAATCATGGAATTGGGTGTTTTGAATCTATTCACTCACAATTGTTAGTGGAAAAAAAAGAAAATAATAGTCTGTAAAGTACAGTATATTTAGTATGTTTACATATAAAATATATTTATTTACCTATATATGCTATTGTTATATTGGTGCATGCAAATTCAAGTGGTTAAATATTATTATTAAATATATTTGGCATCATCAAAAGGCCTAAAAATATTCGATTCTTTGACGAATAGAAAGTTCAAAAGAACAGCATTTATTTGAAGTACAAACATTTGTAACATTATAAATGCCTTTACTGTCACTTTTGATTAATTTAATGCATCCTTGCTGAATAAAAGCATTCATTTCTTCCACAAAAAAAAATCTTTCCAACCCCAAACTTTTGAATGGTAGTGTATGAGAGCTCTGAGAAGGAGATGGTTTTATAGCATCTCTGATTTGAAATAATAAATTACTGACGGAGTTGGTCAGTTTGATTCATTTCCATGAATAAGTTCATTTCAGTTCATCTGTTTCAATGAGCTGTTTCAAAAACTGATTCAATCATATTTGTGAATCATGGAATTGGGTGTTTTGAATCTATTCACACAATTGTTAGTGGAAAAAAAGAAAATAATAGTCTGTAAAGTACAGTATATTTAGTATGTGTACATATAAAATATATTTATTTACCTATATATGCTATTGTTATATTGGTGCATGCAAATTCAAGTGGTTAAATATTATTATTAAATATATTTGGCATCATCAAAAGGCCTAAAAATATTCAGGATTTCTCAGTGCTAAACTATATTCATTTCTTTTTATCAGTCATCTTTAGGGTTGAAATGCCTTCAATATATCCTGATGGGCATTGTAGGATGCATTTCATCAGAGATTGTATAATTACATATCATGTAATGTTATGTGTAGGGATTTAATTTACCATTAATTCATTATGATTAGTAATAATTATATTTATAATAATTTTACGCCTAATGTTTACTAGCCCAAATTGCCTTGTGTGTTTTGGCCCACAGCTCACATGAGCACGTTTGTGCTGAAATTGAACAAACAGTAGTCGATTAGCTTAATGAACTAGTTCATCACATAATCATTAACTCCTCTAATTGAGCTACATTTGGTTTATTCACTGCCAAAAACAGTTATGAGGTTATTTTATGGCTCACATAACGGAAAGTTTAAATGGTCTGAGCGAATTTGTGAATGTTAGCCATGTAATTAACATAAAGGTGTGGATTTCTTTGAACTGCTCAGAGTCGTGCATTGTAAATGCTGTATGTTACATGCTTGCGTTGCCTGGCTGTTGCCCGTGAGGTCTAGTCACGCGATATGATGAGTAGAAATGTAAGTACACTGTGAGTGACGTTTGTAAGCATTTCTCCTGAGCTGTGTGACCAAATCTATAGGTTTCCATGTTCATAAAAGTTATTATTTGTGGGGTTTCCTAGGCAACCTCTCTTGCCATTTAATAACACGTCTATTCTTATTCCAAGGCCAGAAGTGAACATCTAGACCATTTGTAGTCAGAAAGTTTTTGATTTGTTAAATAAAGACGTCAACATTTTTCCTCTATGAAGCATCATGCCCATCTGAATATCAGCACCAGATGATCTGACCGAGTGGAATGTAACACAGCGGTCTGGGATTCTGGGACCATTTGGCTTTTGATGTGTCATTCTTTCCTTTTCATTTTATTATTGAATGCCAGTGTGTGACTTGAAGAAATGTTTGGTGTATGTATATATGTAATTTTCATTTATTGAATGAGATGCCTGTGGCCACGTGGTTACGTCACAGCGAGGACTGGGCGGACAAGGTCTTTCCTTGAGTCTCGGGGTGACTGGATGTTATATAACCCCATAGATGTATTTGTGAAGACGTCCAGCCGAGGAAATGAGATCTTGCCACGAAACTCAGGCCAGAAAACAGAGCAAAACATGGAACAGCTGTTCAGACACACCTACTCTCTCTTTATTATGACTATTTTCCACATTCAAGAATCATAGTAAAGTCATCGAAAGTATGAAATAACACAAACTGAAGTGTGATGTAGTGAGCGAAGCACGTTTAACCGATCGAAACAAATGTCGTCTAGATTCCAGCTCTGCTCGTTCTGTGTATTCATGGGAATAGTTTTGAACGCTATTGAATTGTGAATGTACATGTTTATTAGATTAGATTATTGATTGGCCAAAGAAATTCACACATTACATATACGAATGGAAGTGTGGATGGATAAACTGATGAAAGAACAATGGATAGATGGATGGATGAATGAATTACTGGATGATAGACAGATGGACATAACAATAGATGGATGGAGAGAATGATGAATGCTTGGAAAAATAGAATGATGGGTGAAGGGATTGATGGATGATAGATGAATGGAACAATTAAATGATGGATGATAGAATGATAGATGGACAGAACAATAGAACGATGGATGGATAATGGAACAATGGGTGAAGAGAATGATGGAAGGATGGATGGATGATAGATTGATAAGATGGATAGAACGATGGATGAATGATAGAACGATGGATGGATGATAGATTGATAGAACGATGGAAGGATGGATGGATGATAGATGGATAGAACGATGGATGGATGGATAATGGAACAATGGGTGAAGAGAACGATGGAAGGATGGATGGATGATAGATTGATAAGATGGATAGAACGATGGATGAATGATAGAACGATGGCAGGATGGATGGATGATAGATGGATGGATGGATGATATAATGAATCATGGATAAAATGGATGGATGGTAGAACAATAAATGAATAGAACAATAGAATGATGGATGGATGGATGGATGGATGATAGAACCATAGATGAATAGAATGATGGATGGATGGATGATAGATGGATAGAACGATGATGGATGATATAATGATTCATGGATAAAATGGATGGATGGATGGATGATAGAACCATAGATGAATAGAATGATGGATGGATGGATGATAGATGGATAGAACGATGATGGATGATATAATGATTCATGGATAAAATGGATGGATGGATGGATGATAGAACCATAGATGAATAGAATGATGGATGGATGGATGATAGATGGATAGAACGATGATGGATGATATAATGATTCATGGATAAAATGGATGGATGGATGGATGATAGAACCATAGATGAATAGAATGATGGATGGATGGATGATAGATGGATAGAACGATGATGGATGATATAATGATTCATGGATAAAATGGATGGATGGATGGATGATAGAACCATAGATGAATAGAATGATGGATGGATGAATGGATGGTTGGATGGATGGATGGATGGATGATAGACCAATAGACAGACAGACAGACAGATATTGAAAAGAAAGAAGCTGTAAATGTGTTTAGATGGGAAAGTCCAGGCTGTGCGTGAACATACCTGTCACTCTGTCAGACACATATGCACAATATTTCTCAAATACATCACTGTGAAACTATTATTAGCTGGAAGCAGCTGGTTACATTGATGTGGTAACGACAGGTCTTAATCACAATCAGACCCGAGACCGAGACGTCTCACCCTTATTCTCAGCTCTGCTCATTGTGTCTCCCTGACTGTCATCATTTAGTTTTGTGTACACTACAATTCAGACGTTTCTGTGAGTTTTATACAGCAAAGGCACATTAAACTGATCAAAAGTGACAGTAAAGACTTCTGTTTCAAATAAAAGCTGTTCTTTTGAACTTTCTATTCATCAAATAATCCTTAAAAAAAGTATCATAGTTTCCACAAAAGTATAAAGCTGCAAAAATGTTTTTCTGCATATTAGAATGATTTCTGAAGGATCACGTGACACTGAAGACTGGAGTAAAGCTGCTGAAAATTCAGCTCTGCGTTACATGAATAAATTACATTTTAAAATATATTACAATAGAATTCAGTTATTTTGAATGATAATAATATTTCACAATAGTTCCGATTTTTGCAGCCTTGGTGAGCAGAAGAGTTATATGGGGCTCTAAAGTCACCTAAATCTCTCATTTAGTAGCAAAAACAAAAGAAGCACATGCTGCTACATGACTTATATTTGACGTACAAACCATTCTGCCCCCCACACATGAACATATGTGGCTAAACACATGGATCAGCGTGTACAGACAGGACCAGACTGATCGCTAACATGTACTGCTGAACTCAAAGCATGTGTCTGCCATCTAATTCACTTTTAATAGGGAAGAAAAGAGAGATTTGGAGTCAGCAGATACATATAAAACCAGACAAACACATTCAGAAAACCTTCTTCTCCTAACAACTTTTTAAATGTTTTAGTGCTAAACGTTTGAGTAACTTGAGTACTTTAATGTAGACTGTTAAAGCATGTTAAAATATGTTAAATGCTTTTGGAGCAATCCTGTACAAAAACGAGACCGATTTTCCTTTCAAAGTGATAGAGAGGTCAAATGTAATTGCCTCCAGTGTCAGCTGTGCTTCAAATATTAGGTAATTAATAATTAGATGATTAGTAAAGGGTCAAAATGAATGAAAATGTACGTCTTGCCAGTAGAACCTGCATAATATCTCCGCAAAACCAGCCAGTAATTGCAGTTATGAGCTCTGGAAGTGATGCAGCTTTCCCTCTAGTGCTTAAAAATCATATTCTTTTGCCACATTTTATTTCAAAACAGCAAATTATGAATGATAGATGAAATCAGGACATGATTCAGGTTGGATTTGATCCTGAGTTTCCCAAAACAGCACCGCAGCTCAATGCCTGGAGCATGTTTTCTACTGTAACTGCAAGGAATTGCGCTATATGGAGTTAGTTTTTCTAGTGGTCGATCGATGTATCACCAATGCTGATATATCAGCCAATATTGTCTTTTTAGGTGTTTGTTGTTTGATCGTGTCATGAGTGAAACTTTTATTTTGAAGCGCTGAGAGCCCCACAAACAAGAAGTTGCTGTCTCAAGTCTTAGTCTGTAATTTATTTTACGGATACTTTCTATCTAGTTCAATTTTTGGTTTTAAAATTGATATCTTTTCAAATAGTTTATTTTTAAATATTGTGGGAAAATGTTGAATTAATTGCTGAATTTATTCTTATTGGCTGATATACAGTATAAACACACACACACACATATATATGTATATATATATATAACGTTGTAATAAAAAAACGAGATCAATAATTTTATCAATTATTTTATTTTTGCAATTAGAAACAGATTTTAAAAAAATTTAATTACTATATCATTCATGTTGCTCTCAAACAAAGTAGGTTTATTGCATAAAACACAAAAGTAGCTCCATACCACAGAGAACATGTTTACATTTAATTGCATTTTACATTTAATCACTGTTACTACTACTAAAGATCCATGTTCTAATTCCATGATGCTCCAGAAACACCTGCGTCGAATCAAATCTCTCGCCATCGTGCCGTTTTCATTGTCAGATGGAATATCCACTCCGAATGTGGTGTTGATTTCATGAGCTGGTAGTCAGACTCATTAATGAAGCTTTTAACAAGAACCAGGTGAAGATCATTTCCTAAACGTCCCACTGTAGCATTCAGGTATTTACATTATATGAGAAACACGGTGTAAAGCCGTCGTCTGAGCCAGACTGGAAGAGAACGATGACGGTTTAAGGCTCCAGTCGCTCCATTAAATGTGTCTTCTGGTGTGTAAGTGTCTCAGCATGCTGCCCTGCATTGTTTCCACTGTCCCATGATGCCTGAAGGTGTTTTTGTCCACTGTGGAAAACTCGGGAGTCTGAGACTCTGATGGGTTCATGTGATGAGATAATGAAGTTTAGAGGGATAGTTCACCCAAACATGTGCTCACCCTACTGTGCTTATGTCAAACACAAAAGATATTTTGGAAGAAAGTCATTGTTTGGAACAATATGAGGGTGAGAAATCATGGCAGAATTTTTATTTTTGGATGAACTATTGCTTTAAGTAACCCATGTGAACTGTTCAGACTTTGACACACATAACAGTTATACTTCATTTTCTCTTTGGATAAAAGCATCTTCTGTAAATATGTAAATATGCCGAACTGCATCTGCACTATTAGTTACATGTCAAAGTATTCTACTGCTAGTTATGAGCAACTGAAAGAGAAATCGTCCTTAATCTTTGCATTGCTAATGATCGTTTCCAAACTGTTTTCCAAAAGAAAACTATTAAAATTAGTTTTCGGTCATTGCAATAAAATTGAAACATTCAACGGAATCTTAAACTTAAAATGACAAAAATGCATTAAAATTACTAAAGCTTAAACCAATATTAAAATGAAAACTGATCATATAAAAAGAAGAAAAATAGTAGATAAACAGTGCTAAAACAACCCTGGTTGCACGTAAATGTAAAACGGAAATAAAAAAATAAACAAAAGCTCAAATATTTAAAAATGATAATAAAAATGACAAAAGCGAATGACAACATTTCTAAAACTTCAAGTGAAATGAAAATAAACACATAAAAATAAAAGCTAATTCAAAATATTAATAAATGCTATAATAATAATGTAATAAAATGTAATGCAAAAATATAATATTAAAATAGCACTGGTTGCTTGTAAATGTAAAATGTAAATTAAATAAAAATAAAAGCTGAATAGAAATGTTACAAAATGAATAAAAATGACAAAAACATAAAATTACTAAAACTTAAAATATAAAAATAAAAGCTCATTTAAAAGCGAATAAATAAATACTATAATAATAGTTCTATTCTAATAATACCATTATTATTATTATTATAAAGACAAGACTTTTGTATGGATCGACTTGTGTATGGATTAACTGGTTCTTGCCATGAATATAGTCATAGATGCTGGATTGGCGTTAAGAAAGAAATAAACAAACTAATTATAATAATAATAATACAATAAAATATAATATTACTAAATTACTAAAAAATAATATGAAAATAACCCTGGTCACATGTAAACATAAATACAATTGTAAAAAAATAATGAAAGCTTAATAGAAATATTAATAAAAATATAAAAATATACATTTGTATTAATATAAATAAAAAAAAATTACTACAACTAAAATTAAAGCTGAAAATGTAAAGAAAATAATAATAATCTAATTAAAAATATAAATAGATACTATAATAGCATATAAATAATACTAAAACACCGGTGTCATGTAAATGTGGAACTGAAAGCAAATAAAATAAATGAAATGAAAGCTAAATTTAAATGAAAAATATATATATTTTAAAAAGCACAAAGTAAACTAAAATTAAGATATAAACTGAAAAAATAAAAGCAAATTCTAAATATTAATAAATAATATAATAGTCTAACAATACTAAAATGCTGGTTTACTAATGCCTCTAAAGTTATAGAGCTAATTTTCATGGTGCAGTAGAAGAAAAGCCTCAGAAAGCCTCACTGACGGGAACATGTGGATGCCGTTACTCTGGGGATCCTCTCTCAGGACTGAATAATCATCGCTGCGTTGAATCGGTCTGCCTCAAGAGGACTAGAGAATGTTAACATTTGTGTTGCGGCTGTGATTGCTAAAGCAGAGGCTCCGCTGACAGAGCCTCCACGTGTTTTCTTTCATTATGTTTCATTGAGTGTGACACTGAGAACAATCAGGCATGTTCAGAGCTAAACTCATTCTGCTTTTCTCTCTTTCTCTCTGTCTCTTTCTTCCAGGTCCGTCTGAGTTGTGTTTATCGGTCAGGTATAATCGACGGCCCACTTGCCCTGACGCCACTGTGGGGGTTCATATTCCCACCCCGCCGCCCTCACACCACAGGAAGAGCCACAGCCTCGGAAACGCGTCTGTTTTGTCTCTTCATACGTATAAACACACACTTACATACTGTATTTAGATCAATAGTTCAGGGTCAGTATGATTTTTGGAAAGAAATTAATACTTTTATTCAGTAAGGATGCATTAAATTGATCAAAAGTGACAGTAAAGACATGTTACAAAATATTTCTATTTTTAAATAAATGCTGTTTTCTTAATTTCTTAATTATGATTTTGAATATTCTTCAAATCATATTGAATCATCCCTCAGTTTCAAAATAAATAAATATAACGTATTTAAAGTCATGCACTTCAGAGTACAGAGGCTCAGCTTTCTGGAATATTTAAAAGCATAAATGTAAAGCATTATTATTATTATTATTGCACTTTTTCTAGTTTTGTTTTTTAAAAATGTTATATAATTATATTTGTGACCGTGGAGCACAAAAGCAGTCTTAAGTCGCTTGGGTATATTTTTAGCAATAGCCAAAAAAACATTGTATGGGTCAAAATTATCAATTTTTCTTTTATGCCAAAAATCATTAGGATATTAAAGATCATGTTCCATGAAGATATTTTGTAAATTTCCTACCTTAAATATATCAAAACATAATTTTTGATTAGTAATATGCATCGCTAATATGATTTTCTCAATATTTAGATTTTTTTGCACCCTCAGATTCCAGATTTTCAAATAGTTGTATCTCGGCCTAATATTATCCTATCCTAACAAACCATACAGCAATGGAAAGCTTATTTATTCAGCAATTTCGAGAAATTGACCCTTATTACTGGTTTTGTGGTCCAGGGTCATAACCCATATAACCTCTATAGTTATTTTTTAGCCCCTATAGGCCTCTATATAAACCTCTATAGATGTTCCCTCTCCTCCAGTTTTAGTTAGTTTCAGTAGTTATTTTAGTCAATCAAGTTAAGCTAAATTATGAGAAATGTTACCATGGCAACTAATTGACATTAACAAAAAAGTTTCATATATTTATATTTTATTTAATTCCACTTAACATTTATTTATTTTAAGTAACAAAGTTGATAATAATCAGAAATGTTTCTTGAGCAGCAAATCAGACTGATTTCTGAAGGATCATGTGACACTGAAGACTGAAATAATGATGCATTCAGCTTTGATCACAGGAATAAATTACATTTTAACATATGTTCAAATAGAAAACAGTGGTTTTAAATTGTAATAATATTTGATAATATTACTATTTTACTGCATTTTTAATCAAACAAATGCAGCCTTGGTGAGCAGAAGAGACGTCTTTCAAAAACATTTAAAAAAAAAAAGAAAAATCTTACCATCCCCAAACTTGAACGTTAGTGTAACTGCATACTAAACATTAAATCTTAAGCACTTTAGCATTTAGTTTGTCAAACGTACTTCTCCCTGGAAACTTTCGGTGTTACGCAATCTCATGCCTCATGATGCTTTTCTGACTGTCTCTCACAGTATGATGTGGCATTTCGGTGTGGTGGAGAGTAAAAGTGCGACGTTCCCCACAGAGAAACCACGTCACCTGCTGGACGACAGCTTCCTGGAGTCCCAGAGTCCAGCGAGGAACAACCCACACAGCTCATCCGTGTCCAACGGCATCTCTATAGGTATCAGCACAAGCCTGCACATTGTATTTAAGGAATGTGCCTGCTTTAATGCATCTTAAGCATTTGTGACATAATGTTAATTACAGCAGAAAATCATTTTGAATCAGTTTAAAATGAAAAAAAAATACGGTTAAATAATGCACTTGAAAGCAAACAAATCTAGCATTCTGGACTATTTAAAAAAATTAATGTGAAGCTTTATTATTGTTGTTAAAGCAGCGGCATGAATTAGTCAAGTCCAATTTATTTGTATAGTCATTTTCACAATACAAATCCTTTCAAAGCAGCTTTACTGAAAATCAAGTTGTTTATATTATACACACACATATATTTTATATTTTTATTTATTTATGCATTTAGCAGACGCTTTTATCCAAAGCGACTTACAGTGCATTCAGGCTATACATTTTTTACCAGTATGTGTGTTCCCTGGGAATCGAACCCACAACCTTTTGCGCTGCTAACGCAATGCTCTACCACTGAGCCTATGTCATATAATGTCAAATATATTGCTTTACATGAATTTACAGCATATTTGCATGTAAAGTCAGTAATTTAATATAAATATAAAGAAGATTCAGTAAAACTCTCCTTGAAATGTAATCTGTAAAGTATCTAAATACTCATATTCGAGATGGGACTACTGTACTAGTTTGGATGATCTGGTTATCTATTTCTGATGTTATTCGTGACAACAGATTTCTGTTCAGATTCTGAACACTATTATATCACCATGGCAACAAAGTTGAAAGACTAAATATAACTTTACAAAGAGAAAATCAGTAAGAGAATCTACCACACGGATCCCGTGCGAACTCATGCATGTCATGTGGCTTCAGTTTCTCAGTGCCTGACACAATGTACTTCCATAGCATAAGTGCATGATTGTATCTGCAGGAAGTCAAAATTATGAGTTATTAACATTCTTCCACAGCTAATTTTGTGTTGTACCCAGAATATATTTCTGATCCTGCATGCTGATTGGTCAGTAAAATGTATGTCACTTCACAGCACCTATATATGTAGATTATTGAAATAACATTTTAATAAAAATGTATGTCTTTGTTGTTTTAAATGTTACAGTTTTGTAGCCCCAGTGAGGTCTTTGAGGTCCTTTTGTACCTTATTGTTTGATTATCACTGTCAGTGATGAGAGAACATCTGATTTGTGCTGAGATGGAAACGGTTGTGAGGTTAGTTTGGTTTGTGTTTTCTCAGGCAGCAGTCAGAGTTCGTTCTGTGAAGATCTTTCTCCGGGGCTCGAGAGGTGAGACTCTGTCTTTTTTGTCGTGTTTTTGTGTCTAAACATCATCTGCTAATAAGAGCTGCATTTTTGATTTCATTATCTGACCGGTTTCATTTTAAAATAGTGTCACATTAGTTAACGTTAAGTAATGCATTAACTAACTTAAATGAGCATGTACTTCAAGTACTTGATAACATTAGTTAGTGAAAATACAACTGTGCATTGTTAGTTCTGGCCCATTAAATAATAGTAATAAAAATAACTTTTGACTTTTAATAATGTATTAGTGAATGTTGATATTAGCATTAACTAAGATGCATGCTTTAGAAGTATTTTGATTATTCACTCGTTTGTTCATGTGAACTGTACTGTAAAGTGTTACTGTATAACCCTCATAAGATGAACTGCCATCCAACTCTTCCATTCAAATGAGATTTCTAAAATTAATGAGTTTTATTTCATTTTTCCTAGCTCAACAGTACTGATTGTTTTTGTTGTTGTTCATTTATCGTTTCCAGTTTTAAATGTATATACATGTTATCATCTATATATGTCCATTCCACAGGAAAGCGCATTGATATACATACAAATAGCAAAACACAGTAACACAACAACTGCAACAAAAATTGGTCTAATAAACATTTTATACATTTTAAAATAAACATTTTATTCAGTTCCCATTCAATTCTGTCAGAGAGAGTCCGTGTATCTTCTCAAAATATTTAGTTCTCAATAATATTTATTTGAATAGCATATGAATTTTCATCTGTTTCCATTCAAGTTTTAACAATTAAACAAATGAATGTGATGCATATTTGTCAGCCATACATTAGTTCTGTACAAACAAACTGAAAGTTTTAAATGCACAGTGACCAGGTTTACATATATATTTATATATCATCAATAAATCCAATTTGTTTCAATGTCATAAGTTTAACTGTGAACAAATTGAACAGATGTGTATGAAAACTAGTGATAAAAAACACACAAAAAAAAGTAAATTAACTCTTTACCCCATAATTATGACTTTTTTCTTACAATTCTGAGATGAAGAGAATTGTGAGATATAAACTAGCAAGAAAAAAAGTTGACAAAGTCACAATTATCTTTTTATCTCTTATTCCATAGTAGGGAAAAAACAGAATTGCAAAATGTAAACTCAGAATCGCAAGATATAAACTAGGAATTGTGAGAATAAAGTCTGAATTTGTAGTTTATATTTTGCAATTCTGAGTTTGTATCTGGCAATTCTGGCTTTTTTTCTCAGAACTCAAAAAAAAAAAAGTAATTACAAGGTTAAACTCAGAGGGAAAACTTCAGAATTTTGAGATAAAAAGCTGCAATTACCTTTTTTATTATTATTCTGTGGCAGAAATGGGCTTTATAGATTTATACTAAAATGTATGTTAATTCTAAGCAATTTGAATACATTTATCTTGAAATTATTATTTAAATGTGTTAAAATAGATGCATGTAGTTAATAATAATCTAAGCAATTAATTTTTATTTTTGTATTTATTTTATTTTATATATTTATTTATTTTTGGGGGGGAGTGCAGAACTCCCACCTGTTTATATATGACTGGCAAATATCACATTAAAGGCACAATATGTAAGATTTT